CCCTCCAGTATTTGGAAAATGTCTCCTTCAAAACCCAATCTTTTTAAACCGAAATCTAGATATCCTTGATCAGCTCATCGAGCTCTATCGAATCATGTATAGTATAGCCCAAAATAAAATAGTGCTTTTGGTGCGCCTCACATAATTATTTAAAATATAACTGAATGATTGATTTGAGTTGTACTTCGATTTTGACTCTATTTGAAATATTCACATTATTATCACCTAGATGTTATTTATTTTTCTTGTTTTAGAACGCTGGTACAGGCGATTTCTCTTATTTTGCTCCAGATTGTTTCCATTTTAGTCAAAAGGGTCACGAAGCAGCAGCTGTTGAATTATGGAATAACATGGTTAGTAATATATCCTTGTATATTTCTCCGATTTCATAAATTTTTTTGTAGATGGAAAAAGATGGTAGCAAAACTACAATATGGAACTTGGCTGATACATTACACTGTCCAGATTCAGTTAGTATACATGTTTACTAATATTTCGGTAAATAATCAATACATTTTACTTTAGGGTCCTGGCTACATATACACATCGAAAAACAGTAACTAATAAAAACTCTCGCAAAGTTTATTTAATTGGTAAACAAAAATCTCGTTGTGTCTATAAATCTTTTACCAAAATTAAACTTTATTTGTAATTGTTGTTTATTTCTTGCCTCGGTACCAATTTGAACATATCAGAATTTTAATAAAAATACTAATGATGTTAAGGTTCTAAATCTATCAGATTTCTTGTTCATCTTTCATCTTTAGAGATTCTGTGACATTCACTAAAACTTGAAAAATTTTGTTTTCAAAATGTATAGATAAAGTGTATTGATTTAATAAAAGTACGCAAGACTAATTTCGAATGATCGAAATTTTCGAAATTTCGAAATTTCGAATGATTTTGATGGTCGATAATGGGGTTCGCCCCGCTGACCTTCTTTGGTTGAGAATCAATAAAGACATAAAACAAACCAATTTCGAACGATTTCCTGTACCAACTGTAATGTTTAAAGAAAAAATTAAATTTTTACAACTAGATCTAGTTAAGTGAAGAAATGAAATCTTCAACCATAAATGAGACTTCGGTGGAACAAATAATTTTAATCTTAGAGTTATCATAATTTATCTTAGCGAACAAGTAATTGTATGCTTAGATCCGGCATTCATTTTTGTATCAAGAGGGCGATTTAATTTCACCACGCCTATGCGCAAAGTGTTTTGAGTACAAAATCATTTAAATTTTAAAAGCTTGCTCGGCCAAAACTGATTGCAACTTCAAATTCTCTATAATGGTTTACCTTGTACGCAACAGCTTTTAGGTTGGGGCACAGTGAGCAATCACATGAACATTTAACAAAAATTGAAAGTGAGATTCTTGCAGAGCTAATTATGAACCAGTAAACTTCACTCTTGGAACTATCTATTGCTGTAAAATATTTAGTCAGTGATTTATAGTCAGAAAGCACAGAACTGAAAATTCCTCTAAAAATGAGACTTCGTCTACTTAAAACATATTTTTCCGAATAATTGATGAAGCCATAATCTAAAAACGAGTTTTATTCTGAATCAATGATAGCATGGGAACATATTCACGTGAAAAAACTTTGCAGAAATTTTAAGAGAAAAACTGTTTTTTCGCAGAATAACTTATAGTGGAATGACTGAATTATACCAATGGTCTTTTATATTATTAATATTAGCGTCAAATAGCGCCGACATCTCTAAAATCCACACAAAGTTCTCCAGAATCAGGTGATTCTTCAAGTAAAATGCGATTTTTTATCTTAAAAGCATTTTGTATCAAAAGAAATACCATATTTGAAATCAGCTTTTCAAACTGCATCAAATGATATATAATGCAAAAAATTAGCAAGAAAAAGTTTTGAAGTCAAAAAAATTAGGCAGCGGTCAACAGTATTTTATCAAACGATATTTTATAAAGTTCGTGAAAGTTAACAAAGAAAATTTTTTCGAGACTATCTCGGCCCAAAAGTTATTGTGTACAATGTAATCGACTATAGAAAATAATCTACAGTTGTTTCTGGTCAAACCAGCTCTTGCAATTTCTCGATCGCATTGACATGTCATATGCTGCCATAATATGCTGTCCTGACATATTATGGCAGCATGAAGAAAATTATAACTGTTTCTCAATATTAAAAGCAAAATTTTCAGTGTCGATTAGTTTTTCTCTCATCTCAAAGACACATGCTTCTTCACATATGATTCTTCTTGTACTGCTGAGGAATCGAAGCTACATGACAGTTTTTGTAAAATTTTTTAGTATAAGCTATTTGATCAGATGGTGTTTTTCTCCATATACATTTACGTGTACGGCTTTATCATTTTCCACTGATGTCGCAATGTAATTCTGTCATGGTACGTGGGCTGACGACATAACGCAATGAGAGCCGAGCCAATCAAAAGCTAATGCACTCAAAAAGAACCGAAATTTTTCTTAGTTCATATTATAGGTGATGTCAAGACCTTTCGAAATATATATTTAAAATTCTTTTGCCAGAAGCTGTTACTCGAATATCAGTGTGTTTTGCCAGGCAGAGATTCACCCGGTCCAATAAAATTATGACCAGTACCGGCCGGTCATTGATGACCAGCAAACATGTACAGACCGGACCGACCGGTTGACCGACCATTTTTCTAAAAATTTTGGCCGGTAAACGACCGGTACTCACATTTCCCAAGAACTGTTTCGGAATAGTAATTGCTGTAAGAACAGTGGGTTGATCTGCTTCATTATTTGCATATATGATGAGCTGCACCATATATCAGACGATCCGCTCGTGTGAGTGCGAGAGAAATATATACTTGCTAATACGATTGATTTTGACGCTTTGCCTGTGAATACCTTCTGATAGCTGAAGGGAAAAAAAATGACTAGAAAGAATAAAAGAGAGTAATAGGCGTGTTACATAAAAAATTATCTTCTCAACCAATCATCGAACGGCCCAAATGCTGTTTTCACGCGGTAATAGACTTGTTACATAAGAATGTTGGTCCAGGCTAGCTCTGCTCCGGGCTATTCGACCATCCTGAAACTTGGGTCTTAGAGGTTTTACACCATGCTCTTCATTTCTGTCTCTTGGAAGAACTCGCTAAAACCACAAGAAGTAGGGTTTTCAGAAAACCCTAGTTTTTTAGACACCGAGTCTTGGAGAAAATTTTTTGAATTACATATTTGCAATCAGCGTCGAACGACGAAAACTTTAAAAATAAGTCTGAGTCTCTAACTCAAAATTTTAATTTTTAAATTGAAATTGAAATTTTAAAAAATCAACTTTTTTTTCGAACTTAAATAACTCGGCTGAGAAAAATGATAGAGATCTCGCGTTTTCGCCATCGAGTAGAGCATCGAAAATATTACAAACGTAGGGGTTTGACAAAGTTCAAGT